ATAATATTATCTCTTTCAACCCGAGCTAGGTCCCGGGACAAGCTTCGTAACCATTTTTGGGCTTGTTATAGTTTTTATGCTATAACTTTTAAATTAGTAAGCAAATGTTAACAAAATTTGGCTGTTTATCAGTAAACATTATATTGTTTTCATATGCAACATATCTAATTTTTTAACAAGTCTTAAGGTTTGTAAGACAATGTTTCTCTCATGCCTTTTTTTTTCACATCTTGCCTATTTATCATGCAAAGTCATTTTAATTTTGAGATTAAAAATACTTTTATGCATAAGAAAATTTTGAAATTTCACATGCAAAATCTTTATAATGTCCATATAGTTATCAAACACTTCTTAAGAAAAATCTTTATTTTCATCTAAACATTTATGTTTTCATGTTATAATTCGTGTTCATTTTAGAATGAAAGAGGCATAATTTATGTTTATTTCCTAAGTTTTTATGGTGGTTGCGGGATTAGCTTAAATCTCATAACATTATACATTTATATATATTTATTATTTCTATTATATTGACCTTTCACTCTTGGCTGGCTAACAATACAGAAGTTACAATGACGCAGCTCACGTGCACTCATGTTACCGTATCAAATAACATAAAGGTGAATTTTGGTATGTGCAAGTTAATTTGTCTTGACTCTGTTTTAGTATATAAATTGTTGCTATTTTGAAATAAGTTTTTAAAGTTATTTTTCCTAAAACATAGAACAGTAAATAAAGAAGTAAAGCAAACAATTATCTCTTCTAGTTATAAAGTTTGTATTAGGGTGCTGCTTGACATAGGTTGCTAAGCCTTTAAAAATTTTGCACATGGAGGATATAAAGCAAACTATTTTTTTAGGTTTTATATATATACTTTTGAGTAACTAAAAAAATCATAAATTACTACATCAGTACCATACAATTCTACTATAAAAAAAAAAATATATGAAATTTCGAGCAGACTAAAGACACAACCTACCTTATTGAAATCTTGGTTCAAAAGAAAGAAATGGTGTTAGGTACATTAGAAAGGCTGAGAAAACCACTAGGGGGACATTCTGAGCTTCCGATTGGTTATTCATGTCATATGTAAAAGTAAGTATATGTAAGGGAGCATTTCCAAAAATGGAAAGAGGTGAGTGGTGTGCCACTGTGTTTGATTTATTATGTGAGCAATATCTAAGC